CTACCCCAACCCCCTACACCTACCTACCCTATCTTCCACTATCTGTCCTTACCCACCCTACACATCCCCACCCTAACCCTTACTTAAATTCCAATATCCCGCCCACCCCATTCCCCCACCCATACATCCCCACCTGACCCCATGCAACCCCTACTCTGATCCCTATATACTGCCCCCTCCCCTTATCCAACCCCTACAACAACCCATACCTACAAATCCCCAACCCAACCCCTACTCCGATCCTACATGTATATCCCGCCCCCTGCCCAACCCCCTCCTAACCCAACCCCTACATCCATGCCCATCCTCTCCCTACCTGTCTCTCCCTACCTGTTCCCACCCCACCCCTACAAATCCCCACCCCACCCAAACCCAGTATTCCAACCCCTCTCCCCACCCCACCCCACCCCGCCCCACCCATCCTAGCTCCCCTACTCATCCTACTCACACAAACCCTAACTCCAACCCTATCCCCCAACCCACCCTCCCCTACCCCATCCTTACTCCAACCCCATAAACTAAAAGATCAAACCAGAAGCTCATGCACATTCCCAAAATGCATAGTGTACATGTACATGTTATACCGGTATACACACACGTACATGTTATACCAGTATACATGTACAAGTAACAATTAAAACTTTAACATTTCCTTGAATTAAATTAATAAAACTTACTGCAATGATATGAACCTAACTGAAGTTATAGAGATGATACATGACAACTGCATTTAATTTTTTTTTCCTCAAATTAACTAGAACCAAAAACTTCAACATTTTTATCTGAACGCGGACGGCCGGACGTTCTAGCCAGACGGACTTGTGGGGTGATAGCATTGTGTTCCCATTATCCCTTTTTCTAAAGATTCCCTTCTGGGGTGATGTTTTTCCATTGTGTAAAAAGTGGGGTGATGTGTCCTGAAAGGAACATCACCCCACAAGGGTGGTCTGGTCAGAACGGACAGATGGCCGGACGGACGGCCGGCCAGCCATTCCAGCCAGACGGAATTGTGGGGTGATAGCATTGTGTTCCCATTATCCCTTTTTCTAAAGATTCTCTTCTGGGGTGATGTTTTTCTATTGTGAAAAAAGTGGGGTGATGTGTCCTGAAAGGAACATCACCTAACAAGGGTGGTATGGTCAGAACGGACGGACGGGCGCCCGGACAGACGGACGGAAATTGGTATTACATAGGCTCGCATCTGCTTCGCAGCTCGCCAAAAATGAAACAAGCTACTTTCTTTCTGTTTAAATATTTGAAATCTACAGCAAAAAAATAGCCCAGATTACCAAGTTTGAAATGTCTGGGGGTATAGTTTTAAATATATGGCCCTTTAAACATTGAATTTTGTGACGCGACGCGCTTTTCACCCCGGCCCGGCCCCGCCCACCTCAAATTTCAAAATGCTGTTGCGCAAGAACGAAAAGTCGTAGAGACCCCAAATTTTAAGAATTTGCATTTCTCCTAAGTATCTTTCAGTACACCAAAAAAGAAAAAAATCCAAGAGGTGATGGTGTGCACCATTTGTTGAGTTGGCATGGAATGTAATTTTAAAACATGCCTTTATCATGTAAAACTTGAGACACAACTTTTAGAAACAAAATTATTTACAATATGTCATTGGTTCTATCAAATAAAATGAAAATGAAATTTAAATGCAATAAAACAATAAACATTATAAATTGTACAAAACAATTACAAATTGGCTATTTTCTTGTTCATTAAATATGCGGGAACATTATGGTAATTTCCCTGTCAGTCAAGGGGCCCCTCCTCTCAGGCCACAAGTGTTGTTTAAATATATCCACGACGCAAGAATTCTGTCTTCTGAAAATGAAATTGTTTCAAAATAACAAATTGAAATAATTAATAGATCTAACTTAATTTAGGCCAATTGGAATAATCTTCTTTTTTTTGTAATTAAATTGGGCTAGGTTCTTGGCCCATAAAACAGACCCTAAACCCCCAACCCGTAAGGCTGTCAAATATTTTAGGTCTTTACTGCACCTTGATTACAATAAGCTATCAGTTTAACAAAAAAAAGTCTATTTATAAATTGACCTCAAACCATGAAAACATATTATTACATGTGTACCTTATTGCACCCATTCCCTAGATTAATCACTTATTATGCCTTAATCTGCCTAACGTTAACATTATTAGGACATTTTTTTACACCCACTTAGTATAAGAAACAAGTGCTACTAGGGGCTCCGTACAAAATTAATAAACCCATAATTCATTTCATTATCATATGACATGGCTTGCTGGGATATTGGCCGGCAGAGAACAGCTGTCAAAAGTCTCTCATGGCCAATGATTGCAGTTTTATGGGCAAATGTATTCCCCGCATATTTGGATCTAGTAAATTTGCTAATGAAATAACAAAATTATCAATTTTTGGTAAGTTGCCGGCAAAGCCTTTCCACATTTTTATGTGAGTGAGTGCTCATTTAGATGTGACTTTCCAGGTTGCAAGTGAGTGCTGGTCGTGTCGGCACGCGCACGCCGTGCTATTCAAAGTGAAAGGTGAGTCCATCATTCCACAAGTGCATCGTTTTAGCTGCCCGGACGATATTTACCAGCTTTTATTATCATTATTATTAAATGGTTTATTTTACTCTCCTGTCGCAGCCCAAAGGCTGAATTGTGGGCAAGTTTACACTAAAAACATTTTTAAAATAGACAGAGGTAAAAACTGTATGCATTACAATAAAAATAATTACAAGACCGGTAAAAAATTATAATGAGAGTCCAAAAATAATGCATGTAACAACAAGAATGGAGGTACACAATGAAAGAATTTTTAAAAAAACTTGACTAAAAACAGTTGATTATAGTTTGGAAAACAATAATGGAGAAATGGATTGCTCAGATTACGAAAAAAAAATAATAAACGAGGATAAATATCACACCAGGATATGAAGCGTAAAGCTTAGTTGTTATTAAGAAGGTTGGTTAAAGAGGTTGTGGAATGCTCGAAAACATTTCCGTCATTTTTTGGGTATATGTAGCCTAAGGTGTGATGAAATAAAAACGACTATTGTTTCTGTCATGAAATGAGTACAAAGGGTACTTTTGAGAGCTATTTTTCAGGTCCTGTTTCGACCCGAACGTGCAATTTGTGTAAAAGTCGTCGTTGCGGGCAGCAAACAAAACACAGTAAATCGTGACGAAATAAACAGGACTCATTTATGCTACTTTGCATCGGGAGTCCTGTTTATTACGTCACGATTTACTGTGTTTTGTTTGCTGCCCGCAACGACGACTTTTATACAAATTTCGGGTCGAAACAGGCATGACAGGACTTGAAAAACAGCTCTCAAAAGTACCTTTTGTACTCATTTTATGACAGAAACAATAGTCGTTTTTATTTCATCACACCTTAGGCTACATATACCCGAAAGATGACGGAAATGTCTTCGAGCATTCCACAACCTCTTTAAGAATGGGATTGCACATTCTTGTAAAGGTTATTTGATCTTTTGGGTGGGAGCCAGTCACGGTATTTATGAGATGAGAGAAGGTTTTTACCAAACGTTAAACAGAGATGATCACGTCTTTGCTGGAGAGAGGGGATTTGTAACCTATTAGACATAAGGTCACAGGGAACGTGCTCGCAAATATCAATGGAAAGGATTGCTCAATGAAAATCAGTAATGTGTGGACTGAGTACTGAGAAACATTTCAAATTTTGCACATTGGGAGGTGCCGAGTTGGTCAGATCTGAGATATGTTGCTAATTGACCTGTAAGTAGATCTGTTTATGGCAAGCTTGTCTGCAAGTTCAAGATGGTCTTGGGCATTGCCATCAAAAGCTTCGATCAAACTACCAGGGTCAGGTCTACATTTGAATTCTCATGTAACGCCCATTAGCCGGCATATTGATATTTCTAGTGCTTCAGTCTAACAGTTTTCATGATGATCAGAGTAGTCGCAGAGTCTTGTCAGAGGTTTTTATATATTTCCAAACATGGGTGCCCCAAGGATTTTTTTCAAGAGGGGGGCAAAACATATTCCCCCCCAAATGCCTGTATTTTCCATCATATTCTCGATTTATCAGATTTAGAGGGGGCACGGACATCCCCCAACCCATTAAATTTACAGCAATACGACTTTGCGCCTCTTGTTCTTTTCCTTTTTTTCTCTTTTTTCTTCCATTTTTTTTTGCTTTCGCATGAAGTATGAACTGGGCTTTACATGGCTTACTTGAATAAATCTCAGAAAATTCCAAATTAACATAGAATTTCTGTAAACTTGATAAATTCTGATAAATAATTATTATCTTTACTAACATACCCAGCCAGATGTTTGTCAGAAAATTATTTTCTTATTTTTGGGGGCATTTTCAAAGGGTTCACTTTGCACTTGAAAATAAAATCGGAAAATCACGCCAAAATAAAATTTTCTTGTAACTTTGTTACGGGGAAATAAACTCGCGATTTATGAACAGGAGTGTTTTAGAACTTGATGAATTTCATTTTCTGTGAAATTTCAGTTAAAACTTTTGCTCTAGGTAGGTGCTACAGGCGAAAAATCAAAGTGCGCCACGTTGGGGGCCGCGCCACGTTAGGGTACATCAACAATATAGGGCCCTCCAGCATAGCGTGTGGTATGGGGAAAAAAACCCATACGGGGCTAGGCTACGACCACGGACATATAATAAAACCTAGACACGACATTTGCTATTGCGCCTGTCAGCAAAATGCTGCGCATATAGAATAGCTAAGAAGTGTGTGCGTAAATCGAAGCCATACTTATGCATGACATTCGCATATCGCGTAATTAAGCCATGTGACGCAACCCGTTTTGCTCACAGAATTTACAACGTAAAACAGATAATGTCGTGTCTAGGTTATATGTCTATGGATACGACCGTATTTTTTAAACAGCGCCCCCTAGCGTACAGAGGCGTGCTGCCCACGGCCGGCCCACGACGCCAACATCAAAATGCAATTTTCTCCGATTCCGAATAATCCTGATGTTTTTACACCACATACCTTAGGCATCAGATACTTTTTACTACGCCCTCCAAAGTCCTAGTTTGATGTCAAAATCATGCTTTCAAACACCACTGTCGACATGTTCGATGCAAATTAAAAACATGTTCATGACGCGTCATCGGCTAGGCTACAGTACGCTTTTTATACTAGTATGGAGCATCTTTGCATGCTATGGAGGGCGCTCTTTCTATGGACTAAAACTAGGCGTCCATGTACCAGCATGTATACCTACTGTACGAATGTACAAAACACAGCCAACGGCAACAGATCGTATCGACCCGATTAAGTTATGAAATCTCATATTTTATCCAATGTTATTGACGTAAGTTTACATTTTTACTTCAATTCAATTTTTACAATCTTCGACTGTTTGAATGTTCTTATTCCTCCATGAGCAAAGGTAGGCCTATAAACCGGTAGGGACCCTAGCCCTGGGGGACTCCCTTTCCTCCTAGCCCAGGTTGGACGAAGTCTTCATTGCAATACGACTAGGACTCCCTTTCCTCCCTACGTTACGGAGGGTCGTATTGCAATGAAGACTTCGTCCAACCTGGGCTAGTAGGGACCCCGTTCCTATATCTGTATATTTATAGGAAGGGAAAGACTCACCAAAACAGTTGAATAAATGACACTCAAAATTGACATTATGATATTTTTTTGGCACATCTGAACAATTGGCAATGACACCTTCTTAAATATCAGCAGGTTTAATTTGGTGGAAAGAGGGCAGGGCTTTGATTTATGAGGGAAATTCAGGGGTAAAAGATGACGACATCTGACAACCAGAAAACAGACTAAAAAACCAAGAAGATGGCAAATGTGAAATCTCGATGCGATGAAAGCTCGATGCTGATTTGGAAGATAAAAAATGAACATCTTATTTATTTTTTTTAGCAGCCAATCAGCATCGGGCTTTCATTATGTAGGGCTTTCACGCGTGTGAGAACTATGTATGCACGTCTGACTCCGAAAAAAGGTAGGAAAGTCACATTTTCTTTGAAAGTGCTTTCAAAACTACAACTAAACATGAGTTTATATGAAGAAAAAAGACTGCTTTAGGCCAAAAAAAAAAAAGTCTCCGGTTTCTGGTATGGAGTTTGCCCCAAAAGTGTTGCGGCGACGCGGCTTTTTTTTTTTTTTACCTGTTTTTTTTTTTTTTTTTTGGCTTCAAATGTCGGCTGATGACTGCAAATGGTGCCCGACTAAACTTAGTGCAAATATATGGGAGTCCAGAGAGGCCACATAAATCTTATTCTCGATCATAACCCCATCTAAAAACACGTTAAAATTGTGCAGCAGCAGAATTCCAGTCAAACCAGTGAGTTTGGCGGTTTTGAAACATCATCTTGTATTGAAAAAAAACCTTTTTCATTTTGCTGACGCGCATGGCTACGGCGACGCGCGCGCATACCAGAAACCGGAGACTTTTTTTTTTTGGCCTTAGCCTGCAAAAGTCACTTTGGTACTGGACAGTCATCTGCAATTACAAAAGTCAGTTTTGAACAGAACTCATAAAACATAGAGGTGTCCTAAAAGTAAGGATTACCAATGAACCTTACTTAATATAGCAATTAAGGCATTTAAGCATGTAAAGTTGACTTATTTCAAACGATGACAGGGAGTCGGGCTGGCTCTGTAGTACGGCCAGACAGCCGATGCTCCTAACGCTAAACCTCTGATGTAGCGACTTTGCTACCGATTTTGATCAAGACTGTCTTCTCATCCATGTCATCCAGGACAGAAATTTCCAAAGTTATGGTTCCTAGTCTGTATCTGTATCTGTATCTGTAGGTGTACGCGGTCCTTTATCTACGCATTTACCTAGTCCGAGTATAAGTAACTAGGACTCTACGGATTGCTTTTTTAACATGGTCAGGCGATAGTAGAGTCCGAGATCGATGGCCCTATTGCTGTTACTATTATTTTTTTTTTACCATTTTCATTCGTACCCCCAATCAAAATTGTCAGATTTCACCCCCAAAACAGTCTTCGAACTGCCTTATGTACCCCTGTAGGCAGTGGGAAGTGAAAATACAAATGGTGGTGGTTAGGTTTACATACCTTTGGGAAGAAAAGAGAAATTTCACCTTCAATTCGGGAAACATCCTTGTCACAAACGTCTTGTTTGAGGCTGTCATTTTAAATTCATGAAAAGTAGACTTGTGCATGACTCTGGCTACACTGTTTACTGGCAAGCATCAGATAGACCAATCAAAGGGCACTGTGATTGGTCACCTGACCAGGTCACTTATCCAGGTGACCAATCAAAGTGCCTTGTGGTGCTTGCCAGGAAACAGTGTAGCCAGAGCCATGCACAAGTCTATTTTTCATGAATTCAAAATGGCAGCCTCAAACAAGGCGTTTGTTTCCCGAATTGAAGGTGAAATTTCTCTATTCTTCCCAAAGGTATGTAAACCTAACCACCATCATTTGTATTTTCACTTCCCACTGAAGCCTACAGGGGCGCATAAGGTAGTTTGAAGACCATTTAGGGGGTGAAATCTGACGATTTTGATTGGGGGTGCGAGTGAAAATGGTTAAAAAAAATTAATAGTAAGTGCAATAGGGCCATCGATCTCGGACTCTACTATCGCCCGACCATGTCCAAATGTTAAAAAAGCGATCCGTAGAGTCCTAGTTACCCGGACTTGCATTTACCTTCAATTTGTGTTTGACAACACACGCGCGTATGCAAGTGTTACCTGCGCAAATAATGGAGGGTCGAGGATACGTTGCAAGAAACCAATTCTGGCATAAGAGCAACGGGAGAGAGAGAGGGTGTTCGTTGTACAGTAACTTATGGAGAGAGAGGTCCGCGGCTGATGAGGGATTTGAAGGTGTCAACAGAGTCGGCTTGGACTAGGCATTCCTCTAGATGGTTCCAGTCAATTATAGTTCTGTTGAAGAAGGAGTACCTGAATTGATCTGTGTTGCTCCGAGGAACTCTGAAGCACCTTGAGTTGACAGCGAAAGCTCCTTTCAATGGAGTGTATTGTTGTGGAGTTGAAAAGTGTCCTTGGTCAGATTAGTCTGCCAGGTTTTTTAGATATTAGGTAGAGCTGAGATGGTATGGCTGGCACTAGCCCCTTAACCACCTTGTACATGAATATGAGTCGTAATTGTTTCCTTCTGTCTTGCAGATTGTAGTTGTTGATTTTGTAGCATTTTAGTGCTCAAGGAAACTGGGTTTCTGTGATCTGTATTCTCCATCCATTGATGAAGCGTACAGCTCGATGTTGGATGCGTTCTAGTCAGTTAATATTGGCTTTTATGTAAAGGTCCCATACTGTAGAGCCGTATTCCAAGATTGGTCCTACTAGTACTAGGGCTAGGTAGGCAGTTCTGCAGTTGACTGGGCAACTCCTAAGGTTTCTAGGAAGAAAGCCTAAAGTGGAGCCAGCCTTCTTGGATATACTGGATAGGCCTACGTGTGGATTCCATTTGAGGTCCTCAGAGATGTGTATACCAAGATACCGGTTGCTAGGTACTTGATGAAGAACAGTGTTGTCTAATGTGTAGAAACGTGTTGATTTGTTCCTAATGCTGAGAATGTTACTTTTTTTTTGCATTGAAGCGCATTCCCCATTTTCCCGCCCAAGTTTCGAGGTTTTCGATGTCTTGTTGGAGGATGACATGATCACTGGGGTCATCTATTTGTCGGTAAAGCAGGCAGTCGGCTGCGAAGAGACGAACTTTGGATGTCACACTGGCTGGAAGGTCATTGATGAGGCAAAGGAACAGCAAGGGACCCAACACTGTCCCTTGGGGGACCCCAGAGTCGACCGGCACTTCCTGAGAAGCTACTCTTTCAAATTTCCACTCTCATTGTGTGTTGGGTGAGAAAGCAGGTTAACCACTGATGTAGAGGGCCCCTGATGCCGTAGTTGTGGAGCTTGTGGAGGAGTTTATTGTGTGGGATGGTGTCAAATGCTTTACTGAAGTCGAGTATGGCAATATCAACTTGCTTTTTCGCGTCGAAAGATTTTAGTAGGTCATGTAATGTAACTGTAAGTTGTGTTTCACAGGAATAGCCACGACGAAAACCATGGTTTAACTGTGTGAGGATTTGGTGATATTCAAGGTGTGAAATGACGTGTTTGTAAATGATATGTTCCAGTTGCTTACAGGGTACTGAGGTTAGGGAGATTGGATGGTAATTCTCGGTTAGGTGTTTGTCTCCTTTTTTTGAAAACACAGGATACATTGGCCTTAACCCCTTAAGGACGGGGTGTAATGGGGACATTCCTCCACACATAGAGCAAGTGGCCCACATGACTGCACAGCCTTTGTGTGGTAGCGGGACTGCACAAAAGCAGTAGCTGTGGAACTACCCACTAGCCGTGTGCCTTGGCATACCACAGCTGGCAACTGCATTCCAATGAGGATTAGCGGCCGCGGCCATGACCGCTTTCGGTACGCATGGGGTTAAGCCAATCTTCAGGTAGGATGCCGGAGTCAAGAGAAGTTTGGTGTATTGCTGCAAGACCAGCCCAGGTGCGACATTGTCTGCACAATTTTTCAGCACGGCCTTTGATAGGTTGTCTGGTCCAGGTGCTTTTGTAATGTTAATCTTTTTCAGCAGCTTAGCTACACCGACCGAGTGGATGACGATATGTGGAATTGGTTGATCTACTTTTATGTTTACTTCTGCGAGATCACGATTTTTGTCCTGTGTAAACACTGACTTGAACTGTTCGATGAGAAATTTTGCCTTAGATGTACAAGGTCCCCTTGTGCTTTAGTGGGGCAACACCGACATTACTTGGCGTCTGTTTTTTATGTATCTTCAGAATGGCTTACTGTTGTTATTTGCGAGGCTTTCCTGAATGACTTTATTGATGTAGTTCCAGTGGGCTCTTCGGATTTTCCTCCTACATTGTTTTTGGAAGCTAGTCGCACACGCCATGTTTATTGCTGCTATTTTTTAAGTCAGGAAAAATTGACTTGTGCATGGCTCTGGGCTCTGGCTAGACTGTTTTCTGGCTAGCATCAGACAGACCAATCACAGGGCACTTTGACTGGTCATCATGGAGACGCTCAATTGAGACGCCATGTGATTGGCCCATTGAAGTGACAAATCCAGGTGACCAATTGAAGCGCCCTGTGATTGGTCTGATGCTAGCGATAAGCTAGTCTTGTTTCCTGTTCCCGTCGTCCTTCAGACTCCAATATTTTAGGGGGCCCGGGAAACAGTCAATGTTGTCATGTTTATTCTTAGCCACGAAGGCCGCCTGACCTACAATTTAGACATCTGGGCGTGGGGGAAAATTGTCAAGTCAGGCATATGTCAGGGAACCAGACTAGCACATTTTTTTATTCTTGATTTTTTAAAATGTTCATCTAGTCACCCTTGGCCTGGCTAACACATGCGCATGCGCATCCACCTTTGTTGATGGTGTAAATTGAGGATTTTCATTTGTTTCTCTTCCCTTTTCCTTTGTTTATACTAACTTTTTCGCAACAGCTCTCATTGGTTTTGTACACTTTTTCTAATCGAGTTCATCCTCGACTTGGTCCCTGTCCTGGATTCACCAATGATGTTGCACGTGTGTGTCCTCGATTTACACCGTAAACAAACCCACACATACAATACACAGCCATGACAGCGGAAACAGATGGTTTTTCTTTAATAAGAAGTCACCAAAACCATCAATTTTTGTCTCGACTGAACGAACTTCAGGAAAGAGACCATGCAATCACTATGTCTATCCGTATGTCCGTCCACACAGAGCCCCAGAGTTCTAGGGGTAGATGGTGTGTTCATTGCAACAAAGGACTCCCTCATCACATCTGGTGAGACGGTGAAATCGTCTGGGCTAGCATTACCTTGAGTAACTCCAGCTCATATGCTCATCGGGAATTCGAAATATAGAGCTGGAGTCAAACGTATTGTTTTCATAGGTCCAATAATTGCGGAGTCCCTAAAAAAACGGACTCCACAAAAATGCTCCTTATCCCCTGTTATTCAAACCCAGATGACATAAAACATATCTCATACCGTGCAACAGTCATTCACGGAGCAAATGATTGACTCAAAATATGAACAATATTTATGATTTCGGTGGGTTGGTGCTGTCATGGCTATGTTGTGTAGTGTGCTTGTGCCAGTCAGGGTGACCAGATGAAAATCGAAAAATCCAGAATAAAAGGATGCTACATGTAGATCATACACTAGAGTTAAGCGTGTGATCTAGCAGATTTTTTTATTTTTTTTATTTTCCAAGCGGGGCCAGACACCATACAAGTCTATTCCATACCTCTACATTGGCATAGAGGGTGCAGCAAAACAACTCACAAAGCTCAACCATCTAAGGCAGCTGGTCCTGATCAAATTTCTCCACGTCTTCTTAAGATTGTTGCTCATGAGTTGGCTCCAGCTCTGAGATATTTTAACAGTCATATATGACACCAATACAGTACCAACTGAGTGGCCACAGGCTATGGTGACAGCAATCCACAAGAGCGGACCAAAAACTGAAGCATGTAACTATAGACCTATCTCACTGATATCTGTGTAAAGTGCCAAACACCTTACATGTAATTCAAATAATATTCTGATTGACAAACAGCATGAATTCAGGGACCGCCTATCAACGGTTACACAACTGGTAAATTCAACAAACGACTGGTCTGAAACACTCAATCATAAAGGTCAAGCTGATGTCATACACCTTGATTTTGGTAAGGTGTTTGATAAAGTCTCCCATCAGCTTTTTAGCAATGAAGTTGCAGTACTATGGCATCACACACAACAGTGACAACACTCTAGGCTGGATCATTAGTTTCCTTTCACATCGTAAACAAGCCGTTTCTGTTAATGGAACACAATGAACTGATGTTACTTCAGGCGTCCCCCAAGGATCAGTCTTGGGGCCCATGCTAATGCTTTAAGACTTGTTAAGTTAATAAACACATTCGATCAATTATTAAACTCTTTGCAGACGACAGTATTGTGTACTAAGCAGATTAAGACAGCAGATGATCAACAAATTCTTCAGGATGACCTGAATACCCTTGTAGAGTGATCAAATCAGTGGTTAATGAGCATTAACATAAAAAGTGCAGTTTTCACCCACTAACGTAGCCCAAAGAAACACTCTTCTGGGTGAGCAAGTAACCTGTGTCCAAAAACACGGCTACCTGGGTGTTACAATTTCACACGAATTGAGATGGAAAGACCATTTTTCCAAAATTATACATAAAGCAAGCCGTACGCTGGGTCTCTTAAGAAGAACTTTGTCGCCTTGCTTAAAACAGGTTAATGCAAGAGCCTATAACATTAGTTCGTCCGCAAATCGAGAACGCATGTGAAGTTTGGAACCCCAACACAGTTACTGACATAATCACCTTCAGCAGATCCAACAGAATACTGCCAGATTTGTATTTTCTGACTACCGCACAACTACTCACATCTCACCACTCATAAAAAAAAAAGTAAACTGGGATCTACTCATAGAGCTATATTAAATTACTAGAGCGCTATCCCATAGACCGTGCGTGCATTTAGTTGTCTTTTCACGCATGCACAATGGTTTCCTCCGTGTCGTCGGCTTGCAAACAGCAGTAGCAGACGACGCACTGAACGATTGTCTGGTTTTCATGTCTTAAAATGTATCCTTCTCAACGTACTTAAAAGATGATTCAAACCAAAAATTATCAGTAGACCAAGTGAACAAAGATATAAATTGTCTCTACAGTGTGGTAACGGCGCTAAAAACCTTTTCAAATATTTATAAAAAAAACAATAATTATGGACCAAAAACGTACAAAATTATGAAGTCCGGGAAGGGACAGGGTGGAATTTTTTTTGGAATTTCCTAATTCGTTCGCACGAATTACTAATTCGTGGGAACGAATTACTAATTCGTTCCCACGAATTAGTAATTCGTGGGAACGAATTAGCAAACTCCAGTAATTCGTTCGCACGAATTACCAATTCGTTCGCACGAATAACTCCAGTAATTTGTTCGCACGAATTACTGGAGTTTGCTAATTCGTTCCCACGAATTACTAATTCGTGGGAACGAATTAGTAATTCGTTCGCAGGAATTACCAATTCGTTCGCACGAATAACTCCAGTAATTTGTTCGCACGAATTACTAATTCGTTCCCACGAATTAGTAATTCGTGCGAACGAATTACTAATTCGTGCGAACGAACATGATGAAATAGCAATTCGTGTGAACGAATTACTAATTCGTGCGAACGAATTAGGAATTCGTGCGAACGAATTAGCAATTCGTGCAAACGAATTAGGAATTCGTGCGAACGAATTAGGAAATTCCAAAAAAAAATCCACCCTGTCCCTTCCTGGGCTTCATACAAAATGAAAAGGAAAAACATCGTTCGCTTTTGAGTTTGGTTTACACATTTGGACAATTTGCCGGGTTCACCTTAGATCAGCGGTAGTACCATCGGAAAGGATGATAGATTATATTCATTTAACAGGTGATTTGATGTGTAAGAAGGAAACCTGTAGCTTATAAAAATCGTCATTTTTCGAGTAAACCCATTATGAAAGCTTCGTGCACAAATACACTGGTCCCAGTGCCCTCTATGATCGTACTTAACTGCATTTCAGGGCCGGGAACCAGTCAGTTGTAAATTGTTTCAGTTAAATGTATACATTTCCAACGCGTCGAAAGATTACAAACCGCGGCGCGTGGCGCGTGGCTAGCCATCATGTGTACAGGGGCCAGATTCCAGGGTCTGTGTACAGGGGCCAATTTCACGGCGCTGCTAAGCACAAAAATTTGCTTAGCACAAAAAAGTCTGGCTTATAAAAGCAGGTTACCAGCCAAAACTCCATGTGATGTATATTGCTCTTGAGTAGTATTGACCTGTTGTTTGCTATTGACCTGTTGTTTGCTATAGCATGAAAATCACATGGAGTTTTGGCTGGTAACCTGCTTTTACAAGCCAAACCTATTTTGTGCTAAGCACAGCAGCGCCGTGAAATTGGGCCCAGGTACGTGCACACTAACGTTACATTCAACGAAAAATTTATAACGTGAGACCTTACTTTTCTCATTGAAACGGTTTCCGACTTATATGCGGGAAGCACTGTGGAAGCACCATACAGGTCTTTCAAACTGAATCCCTGCCATCAGAGTGATGCTGCAGCCTTGACTACAGTATATGGCAAGGGGTCTACATGTACCTGATGTTCCCCAATACCTATGTTCCGCAATGCCGATGTTCCCCGAAATCGTTAGGGTTAGGGTAAGGGTTGGGGAACATCGGTAGGACATAGGTATGCACTCGTATGGCAATACTGTAAATTCTTGATTCTCTTTCAGTTTTCACTTTTAGCACCTTATCCATCTGGCTGTTGATGTCACCTCTGCACAACATCCCAGTTTAGCCCAATTTGGGTTGCAATGGGATTGCCCTACCAACCAAAATAAACATATATCTACCACACTTATCCCAACGTTGGAAACTTGGATGGAGCAATTTGGTTTATTGTGTTTGTGTAGTGCATAGTTGTATTTGTTGGATGCACGGGGCAGTTGCTAGATATTGTATATATGTCAAATGACTCACCACAACGATTTTTCAACTTCCATTGACAGACAGAGTTTTGAGTTTTGCTGGTGAAACCATTTGAATTTTTTATTATGTTGTTTCAGATAAAACTTCTGCGACAACCAAAGATTTCCTGTGAAAGGGTGGATAAATTGCAATGAAGCCTCACCATGAAGTTCTACTGTTATACTCCGGAAGCTGAACATACACAAGGCTACTGGGAGGGAGAATGGCTCAAAGAGATTTCCTTCAAGGCCTGATATTCATGACACTTGAAAATATAGCTGGTGTCGGCAAACGTCAAAATGATATTTTATTTTCCGCAGTCACGAATGGCAACAGCTCCAAACAACAAACTGAACCTCGTATCTCTGGTTCATCTTTCAAGAGACATGTGGTATTCTTTCCTGGTGACGTGCAGGTAAAAACATCTCTTAATTAAAACAATTCATGATATTATTTAAAATTGTACAGAAATATGAATTGATTCCAATCACACAAATTATGAAGCCAAATGTAGGAATTAATTCCATTTGCAAAAGTATACATTGTAAATTAATGTTTGTAAATTAAATAATGTATATTAACTTTTCTCAGTTCACATGATGTCATTTTGGAAACCAACCTGAGGCCTTGTCTGAATGGGGTCCGCTCATAAGTCCGACGCCTCATACATCCGAAATTTCAGACTTATGAGGCGGTGGCGGAGGGGGGGGGGGAATTCGCATTATTTTTCATGAATTTCTATGAAACAACATTTTTTGACAGAGCTGGGGGAGTTTGAACCCCCCCCCCCCTTCTGGATCCGTGCCTGCAAATTTCTGACAATTTCCCACAGGTTGGGCCCATGATATAGAGGCAGTCTACTACATGTGTATGTAGGCTTCTGGCCCTCATTTATGAGACTAAAATGGCACTCCTGAACAAATCTATATATAATCTTTAAGTTAACCTTTGGGGGAGTTTTCCTAAGCGGGCAAATTAAGAAAAAATATTTCATATTTCTATTACGTTGGACTGCAAGTGGTTTGGGAACCAAAAGAGATGGCTCCATTTTCTGGTACATGTACATACAGGATTTAAGTGTAATTTGACTAGGACTGTGCATTTTTTAATTCATAATTTAGTTTTCAATTATTCCAACTTTAACTTATCAAATATTCGTCTTTAAATGCACTTACCAGCCTACACTGGCCATTGCTTGTAATTTGCGTGTACCTGCGTTTCAGGCTTGTTGAAAATTGACATGAAGGCCCATTCAAATAATAGGCCTAATAAGGTACATGTGTAGCAGTAGCTGGTATTAGACAAATTTCAAAGAAGAAAAATTGAGCTTATAAGCCTATTGCTCATGAAGCTCTCAACTCATGCACGGTAATGACTTCTAACAAACTAACAAAAGTGTGGCATGTAATATCACCACACAACATGTACCTTTTTCGTTTTTCAAGTAATCAAATTTAAAACAATTGCTATTCAGATATTCGGTTTACGATAGAGTGTTCGGGGGGGGGGGAACAGTACTTTGAATTTAATCTGGTAATCAAAAAGTGTCAGTGTCTAAAAATCAGGCACATAGTTGGGCTGAGCCGCTGAGAGTCCTCCATCCATTACTTGAGCCCAGTATTACCAAACTTCCTCTATATCATGGGCCCGTCTCAGGAAAAACTCAGAAATTGTGCATTTTTGGTATTGTGCTTTGGTTTAGAAGATTAGGCCTAGCGATTCAAGCTTCGAAATGGCGTCATGTGGAAAGGGTTGTTTCTCACACAATAAGCTGTTCTTATTCCTGAAATTACATCTAAAACATTTTGTCATGTTTTGATCACAAAATTTGCAATTCCTCTGGAATGATGAGCAAGATTTAAGAATATACAACATTTGCTTTTCCGTTAATTTTCAGAAATGCTTGGATTAGGGGTTAGGCCTAAAAAAATAGTTCTGCTTCCGATTACATGGCTTTCAAAAATAGGGTCGGTCGGTCGGAATTTTTTATTTTTTTGCCAATTTGTTTTATGCAGATTGAATGGGGTATTCAATTATATGCGAAGTTTTAGCCTGAACTATTTCCATTGCACTACAAAAGCTGTACACGAAAAGGCAACAAAAAGTGAATAAAACCTACCTTTAATTATTGTCAATATATTTATGTTCGATAATTTCAAAAAATAACTAGAAATGTGTTTGTGGACAAACACAAGCTGTTTCGGATATTCGAAATACTCTGTGCATGTGATGAACAATCAGTGACGTCACTAAAAATGTCATCTATAACAGCACATTATACGTACATGTCAAGTTTTAACCAAATCGAACATATAGGTCTGTAAATATAGGCCTATATAGAGAACAAAATGCCCCTTTAAGGGACGTCACATGACATTTGATGATGACATCACTTGAATTTTCATCTATAACACATTTCGGCATTGGTACGATCACGAATTTCTTCTAGGACCATCTGTGGGTGGTAGTCTAAGTGTGTACCAAGTCTAACGTCGATCGGAGTTCCAAAAGTGCCAAAGTACGGTAAAGTGTTTTAAAACGTGTGCAAACCCTATGGGAAAAAGTGCATCTTTAATGTGATGTAACCCAACACCTGATGACGTCACGATCACCAATTTCTTCTAGGACCATCTGTGGGTGGTGGTCTAAGTACATGTATGAATCAAGTCCGAGGTCGATCGCATTTACGAAGCTGTGCGAAAGTGGAGTGTTTTAAAACGTGTACAAAACATATGGGGAAAAAAGCATCTTTAATGTGACGTAACCCAACACCTGATGACGTCACGATCACCAATTTCTTCTTGGACCGTCTGTGGGTGGTGGTCTAACTATGTATTAAGTCTGAGGTCGATCGGATTTATGAAGGTGCCAAGGTGGAGTGTTTTAAAACGTGTACAAAACATAGGGGGAAAATGCATCTTTAATGTGACGTAACCGGACACCTGGTGACGTCACGGTCACGAATTTCTTCTAGGACCATCTGTGGGTGGTTGTCTAAGTATGTACCAAGTCTGAACTTGATCAGATTTTTAAAAATGCCAAAGTGGACTGGTAGAAGAAAAAAAAAATCTTAACGACAACAAGAGCTGTTTCGGTGTGTACACCGAAACAGCTAATGAAAAATTCAGGCCGTTGTGCACCTTATGCACCTTATGCACAACGCTAGTCAAGACGCGGGGAGCTGGCCAAAACTCCGAGGTGTGTGATGCGTGCATGTGTGGCGAGTGGCCCACCATGAATCCCGGGACATACCGTTATTTCGTTTTACCGTTTTGGATTTCCTCAAAAACAAAAACAGTAAATGAACCATTGACCGTTTTGTCGTTTTACAGTTTTGTAAAACGGTCAAACAATTACCTTTTTATTGTTTTTGTAAATTGTAAAAAACGATAAACGGTATAGCTGCTTTATTTTTAGAGTATTGTTTTACAAAACATGACAATGCCAAAACGGTCAATAGTCTTGTCAACCATTTTTTTATTCAGGTTTAAGTTGGCAATTATAGCAATGCACCTTGGAATGTTAATGTGTCCTTGGGACGGTCACTGCCTGTGAAATTGCCCTCCTCACATTTATGTAGTTCCAGTTCTCACGACAGAATTTGAGAATATTGGCTATTGAAGAGCCGCACTGGACTCCAATTTCCTCCAACATATCTGCAACTTCTTCATACGTCTTACCATCCTGTATCCATTATGAAATGTCCCCCCTTGAAATTTTCCAGCATCATTTTTGCTTGCAACTCTTCAAGCCGGCCCCACCAACTGAATCGCAGTAGATGGGGGTCAGGGTCACGCCAGGAATCACACCACGCACAAATTATGCCGAGGTAACACTTCTTCGTGCACGGCATGATCCCCCTCCACCCCTTGCCCACCATAAGTACCGCCACAAAATGCACTACGGACTGTTAACTATGACACTGAAGTAAAAGAAAAAACAGTCTGTATTGAATACTGACCGTTTTGCTATTTTTCAAAGTTATTTGTGTAAAACTGTAAAACAAAAATCATTGATCGTTTTGCTGTAATGAAATTTATGAAACTGAAAAAACGGAATAACTGTATTTATCTTATATTACCGTTTGCCGTTTTACAAAACTGTAAAACGACAAACCGGTCATTGGTTCGTTTATTGTTTTTGTTTTTGAGGAAATCCAAAACGGTAAAACGAAATAACGGTATGTCCCGGGATTCACCATGGGCCGACAGACTTGTTTTTACGGTCAAAAATTTCGGGAAACACGCGGCATGCAGTGGCGTAGCCAGGAATTTTTCAGTGGGGGGCACTGGGGGGGCTGGAACATTTCATGGGGGCGTCAAGCAGGGGCGTCAATCGCTTCTCAAAAGTGGGGGGGGGACATACCTTGATCATAACTGATGCAAGCGCGAAGCCCTTACGGCGTGGGGTTCGGGCCCGCTTAAGGGCCCCGAAAAAAATTGGATTCTAGATGTTCTGTGGTGTGATTTGAAGTAATTTCTTACGACATTCCTCCATGCTTTAACTAATATTTTCTTGGCAAAAGATAATTATTTGAACATCGTTTTCGAGGTTGGAGACATTGAATCAGCTATCGGTATTCTGAGCTACTGGCGTTGGATTGGAAATTAGATTTTCGATGCTCTGTGGTGTGATCTGAGGCAATTTCTTATAACTTCAACCAATAATTATCTTAGCACAAAAGCTAATAATTTAAACATAATTTTCGAGGTTTTCTCAGCTAAAGGCATAAGAAAATTTTGTGAACATTGTTTTCGAGGTTGGAGTCTATAGGCGTGGGGTTCAGGGCCCGCTTAAGGGCCCCGAAAATTGTTGGATTCTAAATGCTCTGTGGTGCTATCTGAGGCAATTTCTGACCACTTTAACCAATATTTTCTAAGCAAAAGATACATTATAGTACATAATAATAGGGCCCATGGCGTCATGTAGATTAATAATTTTTTTAGAAACTCAAAATCTCAGTGTTTAGGGTCGCAGCCTAAAAATAGGGTCGGTCGGGTAACCGGAAGCAGAACTATTCTTTTTTTTGCCTTAGCATTTTACAGCAAATACTGTTACGCTGAGCTGTTTAAAGTTTTGTGTTCATAGTTATAGGCCATCAGCCTGGAGATTTGGTCAGTATCGAATCAGAGCATAAATGATTATAGTGCGCATGCGCAAGGCATACCGCCCCTAGAGTGGTAACAAGCATTTTGATTCAAATTAGGTTTTGCCCTTCACCGACGTTTTTTTTTTAAAAACTGTATACTCAGTGTGTTACCTCCCGAGTGAAAGTTGGAAAAAAAAAATTCCATCTTATAATAGTTTATGCGGTACCCGCTGCTATGTACATCAGATTCGAACCGGCCAACCGATCCCGTTAGCTCGGTGGTCGAGTGGTAAGACATCTGCACTAGAAAGCAGGAGGTCGTGGGTTCGAGTCCCACCCAAGTGATTTTTTTCCAACTTTCACTCGGGAGGTAACACACTGAGTATACAGTGTTTAAAAAAAAAACGTCGGTGAAGGGCAAAACCTAATTTGAATAATATCACCCCATCTTATAAAAGCATTTTGATGGACATTTTTTTAAAAAGGGTGATATTAAACACCCAAAAAGCTGCCACCGCTACAAATCTATCACATATTTTCCAACTCTGGAGGTGTATACTTTGCCAAAAATCGCTGTGATGATTATTCCCCTCATTTGATACCGGTTGCCAAAATTTTGGACCGAGGCTGATGACCTATTATTGGAAAAACCAAGACACAAAAAGCTGTTCTTGAAGTCTGGTTTCCTGACCCTTTATAGACGTCATGGAATTATCAGGTCAGGGAAACAGACTAGCTGGCTTGCATCCGTTCAAGGATGTGTAACCGATTGCAAACAAAATGTGGACTAATTAAATTTGGTAAATGTTGGTGAATTTGGTAATTTGACAAACTCTTGAACTTTGTCAAAAATGTCCTGCAATTCTTTTTTCCCACCATTTTTTGAATATTTCTGTTTTCAAATACTATTATCTCAATTTAAAGGTAGAGTATATCATTTGCACCTATCAAAAAAGTAACTGACGGAAATATTGTTGAAAAATATATATCAAGATCCTAGAATATTGTTTTCTCGGAATACATCTTGGAGTATAGCATTCAGTAAGCTAAAATTTCATCAGATTAGTTGTTAGGCACCATTCTTTAAATTTTGAGCACTTTAATTGCTTCAAACAAAAACAGCATGGACAAATGATAACATGTACTATGTCTTTAAAGTACATCAAACCTGTAAATTCTCAAAATGTTATTAATGGTGAACACATACACATACATTTTCATTTCTCTCTGAAGAACTTGCACAAGGTGATGATGAACCACCCGACAAACCAGAGATGGGCGTGTTGGAGCTATGAAAACACATCTGCTCTCTTACATCGCCGTTTCCTGAATTCTTATGTATGGTTGATCAAACCTAGCCGCATCCATGAGAATACTTTCAGTTGCTATGACAACTTTCTCCCAAGCACTGTGTTTGGTGCACCAGCAAGCTTTGAGTATTATGACAGCTTATTGCATCTTCGTCACATTCTTCTGTCTGCTATTGGCAGAGTAAACTTACATCTGGCGAATATCATGGAGGTGGCCCCTATTTCTAAAGATATCCCTCTTACCATCGTTGCCTTTAGTAAAGGCTGTGTGATTCTCAATCAGTTCTTATATGAACTTGAGTCAGTAAAAACAAATGCAGACGTAAAAGACTTCTTGGAACTGCTTAGTGATTTGTATTGGCTGGATGCTGGGCACAACTTGAATTCCAGAGTTTGGGTAACTGATGAGAGGATACTACAAGGGCTAACAGATTCCGGCATAAAAGTGCAAGTTCATGTTACACCACGGCAGGTTAGGGATCCAGGGAGACCACATATAGGAGAAGAGGTAAGAAAGTTTGTGGACGTGCTGAAGCATCAAGGTGCAGATGTTAAAGAAACGCTTCATTTCGCTGATGAACAACGCTCCATGGAGCAGCACTTTCGCATTCTGAGGGAATTTTAACAATTGTGGCCTTATTCGTGTAACTTGCTTGAAAGTGGTACATTGCAATGACAGAGCAGCTTGACTGCCTCCAGTGCCCTCCACCGTTCTTTCTGTTCCAACATTCAACTTTGACATTTTCAAAGATTAAATCATATTTTCTTTAAAGTGTCTTTTACTATACTTGACCAAGTCCGCCACAATCCATCACTGAACCTGCTTCAAATAATGCTTTAGACCACCACTATCAAAGGTTGTTTTTGATGGACTTGATACTCATGGCTTGCCTACCAGAATCCCCAAAATGGGGGAATGAATTTTGATGGATTTGGGAAGTTTGGGGTTAATGTAGTTAATGCCTTATCACCCATGCCCTGAAGAAGTTTGAACAAATTACCTTTGCAGATAATTATGCGTATAGGTAGTAATAATAGTTTTTAATTATCAAAGGTTGACATCTGCATCCTGAAAACCACTGAAACAATGTTGAAAAGTAGCTTTTAAACTACACAATTAGAATGATCCGAAAACACTCTTTCTGCTGGTATAGAATGATCCGAAAACACTCTTTCTGCTGGTACATGTACGTATGGTTGATGTAACTGGGCAGCCAACCAATAAGCCAGCTTGCTGATAAACAGTGAATAAATATGTGTTGAGGGTGTTCTGTATGTGGTTTCTTGGTCGACTAACGTCGCCTATGGTAAGCAGCAGGGTGTAGTTTCTTGTCCACAAAAGTCCCCTATGGTAATTAAGGAAAGGGTTTTTCGTGCCCTCTTTTTGCGTAACCCATTTTCCATGAGTTTAGTTTGACTTTCTTACTTCACTTCAGTAAAATATATACAAAATACATTTAAATTGAAGAATCCAGCCTCGATCTCTAAATCTTCATTAAGCACCCATGGAAGACATGGCTTCTATATAGAACCAGATCTCAATTAATACCTCGGGGTTGCAGCGTTCACTATCTCAATCCATGCCCTATTGAATTATCCGGACTGGCTATTGATTCGCTATGATCGCCTGCTACTAGATAGGCCTGTACGCTACTATTACCATGGCCTGAAGACACCGATAGTGAGACGACACCACATGGAAGCTAGAAGCAAGTAAAGTTGTTATCGACCTAAAGGTACATTACTCATTACTTGCCCTATTTATAGAGCACGGCAGTTCGTTGATATGGTGGAATCTGCAAAGCTGAGGGACATACAGTCGAGTCTCGTTAATACAAACTCGTTTGGACCAAGCCAAATTGTTTGTTATATCAGAATTTTGTATTAAGAGAAACATCAATCCCATTCATTGTGCACATAGGAGACACACAATTAGCCTACACCACAAAATTATGTTATTCACCACACAAGTTAACCTACGTACGAAAGCTACATCATGCCAGACTAAAAAAAAGTAAAACTAAAGTGTTAGTGCGAAATATAAAAACTTCACCCTGACTGTGCAGTTTGGCCCTGCTAATAAAATAAATGCATTGAAATTTCAGTTTAGGTTTAAAATGTACTTGAAGTACCTGTCCGTTATAGCGTTCCTGTCCTTTGCACACATAGGTTATTTTGACATGGTTGTGATGGAAAGGGGGAGGTGCTGAACAGAAGGTGGTTTAATATTGTGTATTCGTAAAAATCTGATCTTCAGAAAACGTTACCATTTTTGAGGAATTTTTTTTTGGAAATGTTTTACAGATTTTTTTCCATAAAATATTTGGACACAGCGTCGGCTCAACATTTTTTGGAGGCGGGAGGGCAGGGGTCCCATGAATCTAAATTATGGGATATGTTTCCATGGTTTTCCGCCTATTTCAATTACCACCCTAAAAAGTTCAATTATTATATGTTGGGAAATAAAATTATACCTTTCACATCAAGAATCACTATCCATAAACAAAACATATTTAAATCTAAATTAGTGGGGAAACTGATATGCTTAATGCGTGTTAATGAAGTTGAAGTTTGGCCAAAGTAAAAATACTAATCTTCAATCTTAATTTGTTTTAAAAAAAAAAAGGGAAGAAAAATACATGCTTCCATGGGGTCCCCTATAGGGGACATTAGGCAACGGTGAACGTATTGGGTTGAGATGTCGCCTGGAAAGAAAATCCCACTAAACCATTACAAACCATTACCATTGACTCTAAAACATGAATCTAGACACGTACACCTCGGCTGATAAGTTTGGACGATATTCTGCATAGTATAGAGAACAATTATTTTTGCTAATGGCGGATGCTAATTTGAATATCATGCACACATTATTTACATAATCATTGTATGAATGGCTTCAACGAATTCGTTGACCCTGAAAACATGGGTTTAAATACCTCGTTTTAGACAATTTGGACAAAGTCTTACATAATTATATCTCCATATAAATTATGAAAAAAGTAAGACTGCTGCAAACTGCTTACTGACTGGGTGGACCTGAAATATATAAATCTAAAAATTAATGTGGCCTGACGTTGCGAACTTAGCAAGTTCTTCTTCAGAGGCTAAAACAGCAATATAAATTAAATAATATAAATTAGTTAAATTTCCGATAATGTCGAATGCTTATTTGCATATTATGCATAAAATACACACATTATCATTGTAAAATGGCTTTAATGAAACCGTTGACCCTAAAAACATGAGTTTAGACACCTCGTTGGATATGATTGGACAAATTCCTGCGGAGAATATATATAGATGTTATACCTATTTTTTTTAAATTTGCATAATGTGCATAAAATATATACAAAATTGTTGAAATTCGTTGACCCCTAATTGTAAGAACATGGGTTGGAACACCTCGATTGATACAATTGGACAAATTCCTGCGGACATATAGATTAAAGTTACATTTTTGATAATAGCGGATGCTAATTTGCAAATTATGCATAAAATACATAAATTAGTCATTGAAAATGGCTTTAATGAATTTGTTTTACCCCAAACATGGTCCCGCGATTGATAAGCTTGGACGAAATCCTGGACGAAATCCTGTAAAGATATATAGAAAACGTACGTGTATGTTTTTCCTTATGGCGGAAGCTAATTTGCATATCAATTGTTTAAAAAAAAACTGCTCGAGGTTGCCAAGGTGGCACCCGTCGAAATATTGATCTACAAGGTCCAAAATGACAAAACAAGAATATTTTGTGCGGACCCTAATTCACGGTCCGCCTTCAAATTGGGGTTAAGGGCCCCGGGGGAAATGAATTTTAGATGCTCTGTGGCGCGATCTGAGGCAATAATTATTTCTGAACACTTTAAACCAATTTTGGTGAAAAGATGGTGATGTACGTAGTGGCTGCCTTTTGTTATAACGTCAATACAAAAAAAATGTTTAATGGTGTTCGGGGTTTTTTTGGGGGGGGGCATGGCCCCGGTCCCCCCCCCCCCTCCACCCTCTTGGATCCGCCCTTGGGCCTTCGGCACACCGTACGCGATTGTTTTTCCTACCACACGCTCGCTAGTATAGAATTATGCTGGAGGGCCCTATTATACAAATATTGAATGCTTCGAGTGGTGTAGTAAAACTAGCCTCCCGAGGTGATCCATGGACCATTCTATTTTCCCGAGGCGAAGCCGAGGGAAAATAGAATGGGCCATGGATCACCGAGGGAGGCTAGTTTTACTTCACCACGAGATAAAGCATTCAATATTTGTTTTATAACACTTCACTCACAGATTCTGCTTGATTTTAATATTTTAAATTATTTAAATCTGAACACAGTTGAAAGAAACTTCAATTTCAATACAAAATTGGTGGAAAATGTATTTCTCTCTTAAAATCTACCCCTTCACGAAATGTTTGAACCCAAGTCTGCGGCGCGTTCTCTTTCGAATAATACGCGCTACGCACAACGCGCAACGCGCACACCAGCATGCATTTGCACACAAATACCGCGCCGTGGAAATAGTACTTTGGTTGCTAATGGTATAGTACTTTGGTTGCTATGCGCATAGTACTTTTGGCCGTGCACAGAAAGATAGCAAAATTAGAAAGTAACATGTGACTCGCTCTCGGCCAATCAAGACACAGAATCTGTGGGTGAGGTGTTATAAAAAAAAAAAATATTATATGCAATAGTATAATGTTTAAAGGGAATATACATCATTTGCTTTTGCTGTAATTTTCAGAAATGGATGGAATTGGGGGGTTGGTATACAAATAACGACTGTTTGTGAGTGCGATGGTAAGAATAATTTCATGAGGTGACAGATTGAATGTTCTATTCCACGAGGCGAAGCCGAGTGGAATAGAACATTCAATCTGTCACCGAATGAAATTATTCTTTCCATCGCACGAACGTAAAACATTCGTTATTTGTTTTATACAACACCTGAACAAATTCTCGTCATTTGATTGGTAAATTATAAACTACAATTTATTTTGATTTCAAAGATGTTGAACTACCCCTTCACGAAAATGTTTGAACCCAACGCTGTAGCGCTGGCTCTTTGGAACAATACGCGCTACGCTGAACGCGCACACCAGCATGCATTTTGCACGCAAATACCGCGTCATGGAACAAGCGCAAAGTGAAACGGTATAACGCATGGGTATAACGCATGGTCGCACCGTGCATTATACCGAATAATAATATGTCACGTGATCTACAATTCACCAATCAGATGACGGGGATTTATTCAGGTGTTGTATAAAAATATATAGCAAATATAGTTACACTGACTTTTTTGAGGTTTTGGGTTCGAAAATGCTATAAAAACCAAGAAAAACAATCATTTTCCTGTAGTCTGGTTCCCTGACTCCATTTAAGAAGAAACAGAGCAGTTTACATATATTGGGGAATTGTAAGGTCAGGGAACCAGTCTAGCTGGCTTGTACCCGTTCATAGGTGTGTAATCGATTGCAAACAAGTGCGATGGTCAACTGGGGCCAGTATTTGGAAAAAAGCCAGTTTTTTCCAACGCTGATCGGCCGATCAGCGTTGGAAATTGATACAAAAATACCACTTTTCTTGAAAATGACAGTATACCAGGTGCATATGATTTTACAGGATGCTTTACACTGTCATTCATGAACAGTCCAGCAAGGTATTTCAAAATGATTTGGTTGTTTTATTTTTTGATGTTTGCAAATGTTGTATTTTCCCTTTAAAACTACCATATGGCCAGGTATGTAGAGAGACCAACTTTTTATCGCGAGAGGGGCACTGTTGCTTTTAATGGCCAGCTCAGTGACCATTTTATTCGGGTGAGGAGAAGCGCCAGTTTTCACTGTTTTACTGTTGCGAGCTAGCTGGCCACAAATAGCATTTTGCTTTGGAGGGGCAGTTTTCCATCTCGAGAAGTTATCGCGACAGCATTTTTGTTTTTGATGGCCAATTCAACATCTCGAGAGGGGCACAATTCTATTATTGCGAGAGGGGTATTTGTGCTTTCGAGGGGTAGTTTTCCATCTCGAGATCGAGGTGCACAATC